CCCCCCCCCCCTTGTTTTTCTCTTTTTATGCAGCCTGAGCAATTTCTAATCAACACTTTCATTTTTTTCCTCAGGCTTTAGCAGCTCCTTCCTTGTCTTTCATTGCTAAAATTCCATGTTTTTTTCTGCTGTGTTTAGCCTAGTGATTCCTTATTGTCATTGTGATGCTGCTTCCTGTAATAGATTGTTTTTGTTGTTACTGTTTTGAATAAAACAAAATGCTAACCAGCTGTTATTTTAGCAACAGGTACCATCTAGCATTAAGACTTGAGGGAGTGTTCACTCTGTCTTTGTCCCTGAATATAGGTGGCATTTCATCCTTCCCTGGCAGCAGAGGCTGTGAGAGATGCTGGTGTTGTGTCGATATTCTGGGAACACGTTCCAGAGCAGGCAGTGTGTTTTCCTGGAGACTTTTCTGGGTGCCTCTCTGATGGAGAGTGCCTGTTTTATAAGCATTTCTTTTGGTAACCATTTCAGTTCATTCACTCATTTATTCATTCATTCTATAAGCCTGTGGTAAATTTTAAGTGCTATGATAGGTACTGAGCTTAAAAAGATAAAAGATAGTCCTTGCCCTCAAAGAGTTGTCAGTCTAGTCAGTGACTCAAACAAGTTTTCAGGTAATTTTGATAGGGTGGTGAAAGGTCCCATGATAAGAACTCTACAGATGCCATGAGAACAGAGGAGGCATAGCCAACCCAATCAAGGTGGGGGTGGAGCAGCTCAGAGATGAGTTCCCAGAAGAGGTGATGGCATAGTTAAGGCATTTATTCGTGCATAGTTAATTACTGAGTTATTACCATGTTCCCGGCATTGTGCTAGGGTCAATAGACAAATAAGACACAATCCCTGGCTTCAAGGAGCTCACGGTTTTGTGGCAGAGCCAGGCCTATGAACACTTAGTCAAGGAGTAGCTTGCACAAAAGCAATAATAGATATCTGCACGAAGTATTGTTAGTGCCTTGGAAGGGCTTCTACCCCAACTTGCAGAAGGAACAGAGGTATCTGGGAATGGTTGTTACCAGGTCTGGTTTGCATTCAGGTAGATGCCTGGTGACTATATGAGGGCAGGCTTAGGTATAAAGAATTAAAATGTTATTAACCCTGAAGAATGAAGAGTCCCATAGAGATTTCTGAAACTTCAACTTCCATTATCTCCTTTCATCCTACATACTTTCCAATTTCTTTCTTTCCTCTGTTCTACTTCTCCCCATTGAACAGACTGTGTTCATACCAGAGCATCTTCTTTCAACTCTTTATCACAGGTCTTCCCACTCCTCTTCACCTCAAGCCTTAATGTTTCTCTGGACTGGGGAGGGGATTGTTTTCAGTATCTCCATTATTCTTTAGATTTTAGACTCACATGATTTTTACTGGGTGGGAGCTCTGGTGGCATAGTGCCTAAGGCACTTGACTGCTAACCAGAAGGCTGGCAGTTCAAACCCACCAGCCACTCCTCGGAAGGAAGATTGGGCAATCTGCTTCCATAGAGATACCTCCTCAGAAACCCAAGGGGGGGTTGCTAAGAGTTGAAAATGACTCGATGGCATTGAGTTTTTTTTTTTTTTTTTTTTGAGTTTATACAGACTTGTGTATTAATACTGATAGTCTTATTGCAAGCTAGTGTTATGTTGGAAGTATTAGTACCAACACTTGGTTAGTGGAAAGAGCCCTGACTCGGGAGTTGAGGGTTGGATTCCAATACCATCTTCTCTATAAATTAAGCATGTAACAATGGGCAGCTTGAGCTCTTGGTCTTATAATCTGTTGAATGAGATGAACTCTAAGGTCATTTTCAGCACTAAGGTTTCACAGTTCTGAATTTTTCTGAGTTTAGAAATCAAAACTATAGAGCAACAGGTTTAAACTTCCTTTTATAATTCTCCCAGGGAAAAGCCATTAGCAACTCCAGTTTTCTTTAGTATTCCCCAAACCAGTAATGAATGGAATGAAAAACACCAGTTAGGAAGTGGGAGCTCTTGTTAGAATTTTCAGAGGAACAAATGGAGTAGTGTCCAGGGCTTGGTGAACAGGATAGGGTCCACTCTGGCCAATTAAATGTGACTTGTGGAATGAGACAAGGACTTAGGTCCCATGGGATGAATCCTTCTCCAGCCAACATGGCCCTTCTAGTCTCTTTTTGCTCTAGAACTCACTCTTCACTTCTTCTAACTGTTTTAGCTCCTATACCTTATTTTTACCCCAATCAAAAGTATAAAGAAAGGTGTAACATGGTTGTTGCTGTCCTTGTTAGTTTCCATGCTATAATGCTATTCTCTGTTTTAAATGATTTTTATATACATTATCCCATCTGATCCTTCTAAGTAAGGCTG